ATCAATGTTAGAACCACCACCATAGATTCTGATTTAATTGCTCTGTGTTGGGGTCTGGGCATTGGTGTTTTTCTTTAAATTCTCCTGGTGTTTCTAAGGTAAAAACAGGGCTGGGCTGGAACCATTAATCTTCCTTATTTCTAGCTTTTTAATCCACTTGGCTGCCTTCAGACCTGCTGGTCTATGAAGAGAAGCTGAAAACCCCAGAGTAGAAGACCATCATCAAAGATCTAGTTTCCTCCTTGCCTATTTAGGTTAACTTTTAATTTGTTTGTATCCTTCTGGGCTCTCAGGTGCTATACCCCTTTCCTGGGGCCAGAATTCAAATCCTTTCTTCAAGTTCAGGAGGTCTTGCTGACTTGGGTAAAAGAAACCAGTGGTACTGGGCTGCAAGACTGTCAGAGGGGTGCACTGCATAGAGATAATGGAGGAATTCATGAGGAAAACAAAAGCTAAATCCAAGAGAACCTTCCAGAGGGCTATCGTCAAAGCAAGGAGATTCCAGAAATGAGATCTGGGAAAAACTGTACAGAGACAAGGCTTGATAGCAGAGATCAGGCAGTAGAGCCTGAAGAAAGGCACAACCTGGAGGATATATAACCTGCAGCTGCTGTTTACCTGGAGCTTGTGACCTGGGGCTGGGTGAGGTCACCATTTGGCCTGGCCTGCACCCAGCTGTGTACCTGCTGAGCTTAAGAAATTTGTGCTGCTTTAACTTCAAACAAAAGGTCTGGCTTTGGGGAGCCTGAAGCAGAATTTTGAAAATTAGCCAATGAAACTGGAGACTTCTATTGGGTCATTGGAAAAGTCATGACTCATTTTTGCATAGAAAAACATGTCAGGACTTTTCCGACAGCCTAACAGTTGCTCCATAGGTTGGTCCATGTTGCCTAGGATGGTTGATCTTGCTGAATTGCTAATGAGACTTACCTAGTTTGGTTTCATCCATACCAGGCTGAGGACTTAGAAGACAAGAGACACTTTTTCTTTGTTTTCTCATGAAAACTGGCCTTTTGCAAGCAGCTGGGAGCTGCCTGAGAAGGGTTTTGTCACTAGGATGATTAGATGGGAAATATCCTCCTTCCCTGGAGCCAGAATTCAAGTCCCTTCTCTGATTTCATGAGGTCTTACTGACTATTCTCCTCGAATTTGGTTGCTTTTCACTCATAACCATGTTTTGAGTTAACCTGGCCCTTCCTCCTTATAGAAGACAAATCACAGAACTAGAGAGGCCCTTTAGAGGAATCTAGTACAGTTCTTCCCAAACTTGCTTATCACCAGAGGCCCCATCTACAAAACAGATTCCTGGAGTCAAGGTGAACTTCCTGAGTAAGAATTTTCAGGGGTTGGGCTCCTACTGATCTGGTGTATTTCTCATCCAAACTGACATCCTCCTTAATTAGCCTGTACAGAGAGGAATCCGCCTTCTATATATTGAGCTCACGGTTACCTTTCATGCTAACAAACATTTTATGTGATCTCCAGCTGAGGTGCAATTTCGGTACATAGAAATAATTATAGCCATGTCTAGTATTTGTTGAAACTATTGCTGTTTGCCTCCCCATCTCCTGAACCATGCTTTTCTGTTTGTTTATTCATTTTTAAGTTTATTTGTTTCTTCTATAAGTGAGAAACAGAGAAGAAGAGTGCCAAAGATACAGCACTTCCAAAAGGGTCTTAACACCACAGTCCACCTCAGCCCCAGCTGACTAGGTCATGGGCATGTGCATGTCCAGTGTTCTCAGGGAAGTCTCTAGATACAAACCCAGAACCTTCCCATGTGAGTCAGCCCTGCAGAGCATGGTGTTTCACCACTATGCCACCATTTGATCCTTTGATACTTAGTTTTTGCCATCAATTCTATAATGGAAAATCAATAACTAACCAGCTATCTTTGTGTCTATCTCTAAAATAGGAACTTACAAGGCAGTAAAGAGTAAAGGAAAGGATATTAAATTTTGAATCAGAAAATCCAAATTTAGAGTCCAAACCTTCTCTTGGACCCTTCTGATAGTATTGCCCTTCTGATCTTTAAATGCACTATGATCATCATAGAGCTAACAGTTTTTTTTTTTTTTTTGAGAGGTGTTTGCTATGGGGTGCGTGTGCTCACCAGAAAGAGAGAGAGAGACAGAGAGATAGAAAGTGAGAAATCAACCCCGGGGTGGCCACGCCACAATCCTTTCTCCTCCTTTCTCCTCTCAGGATCCTGGGCACACATGCACATGTGCCCAGTGTGAGTTTAAGCCACTGGGTCCGGGACTCAAAGCACAGTCGACTACATGGGAGTCCAATGACATAGCCATTATGTTAACTGCAGGTCCCTAGAGCTAACATTTTTAAGACAATTTCTATATGCTAAGAACCGCATGAAGCACTTTATTGACATTACTGGGTTCAGTGTTCCTAAAACAGTATCAGGTAGGTATTACCTGTCTATTCCACAGAAGAGAGCACTGAATCTCCAAAGTTAGCCACTTTGGGTAGGTGATTATAGCAATGCCTACTCCTTGTACTCTGCAAGGTTACTGTGAAGTTATCGAGAGATATGATGTAAAAGCTGCACTACAGATATGTTTCTCTCTGCAAAACTGTAAGTTACTGGGGGGCCCAGCCGGTGGCGTAGTAGTTATGTTGCTGGACTCCCACGTGGCTGACTGTGGTTCGAGTCTCGAGCTCGGTGGCCTCATGCCGGGCAGTGTGTGTGTGTGTGTGTGTGTGTGTGTGTGTGTGCTCAAGATCCCAGGAGAATAGAGAAGGGACTGTAATGTGGCCATCTCCCCTGAGGTATGTTTCCTCACTTTTCTTCTCACTTTCTGTTTCTGTTTCTCTCTTTCTCTGGCAAGTACACACACACTAAGTCAAAAACCTCTTTAAAAAAATACTGTAAGTTACTGATTGCAGTATCAATGTCTTGCTGCCCCATTACCTAGCATTGCACCTAGTGCATTAATAGACATTCAAACATGCTGGAAAATGAAAGTGAATAAATGATTGAACAATCAATGAAGTTCAATGAATGAAGCCCTAATAAATAAAGGCCCCACTGATCAATCTGCTACACCAGTGTAGCCAAGGCCCCAGAGACACCTGGGCTCCATGTCCACCATGGGCTTTATGTCATGGGAGTAGGTTACTGGGGCTTCTATAACTCTGTGGTCTTGATGGGGTACCTTAGGAACAGTAACCAACATCTGGGGAGTGTACACGGCCCTATGAATCTGAGCCAGCTCTGCAGATCTTTTAAAATCATTTTTCCAGTTCATTTATTTATTCCATAAATGAGAGAGACAGATAAAAAGAGACAGTGGTGCAGCACTCCCTATGTGAACCTGATGCCACAATCTACCTCCAGCTTTAGCCAGCTCTGGGTCATGACATGAGCACTCGTGTGCCCAGCATACTTAGGAGGGTCTCCAGACTTGAACTGACAACCTTCCCATGTGGGTCTGCCTTGCAGAACATCATGCTTTACTGTTGTGCCACCACCTGGCTCCTAGCTCTGCAGACCTTTAACTTGCCCACCTAGACCCATGCCATGCAACAGGTCCCTGATAAGAGCCTTACCATCCTTGCCTCACACTTCTTCACCATCCCCTCCCAGATCTCCCCTGGCTCCTTCAGCCACAGCCTGATGGCTTCCTCATGTCTCTCTGGCCTCACCCTCTCCTCTGTGTCCTTGACAGGTCCAGCCTCTCAGCTTCTGACCTTGGCTCCTCCCTCACTTTAAAACGAGCATTGGCAATTGCGTTCTGAGCAAATTCCCTCATCACCCAAGTTGGGCATCGTCATCTATAGGGCCCATTTCTTATTGTGCTCTGTTGGGCTCCATACATGGTCATCAGCCTCAGCGTGGGCTCCAGGTATCACAGAACGTACCCTGTAACTGGTCACAGTTGGGTGCCCAGACTTAGTCCCTGGGCACAACACTGATGGAATACTGGTGGGAGGCTCAAATTTGAATGAGTTACAACCTTGTGCCTCTCAGGTCGAGTTGAAACCAAGCTCTCAGAAACATTTCCTAAGTCCATCTCCCTTTAGAAAACTAAAAACAAACAAAAATCGTTTCAGATGAGAAAGTTGGTGCATGGTCAACATTGTAAGAAACAAAGGTAGCAGGATCTCCCTGGTTTGGGTATTGGAAATAACACTGGAAGTGTCGCAGTGAGAACTGACAAGCACTAGAGAAACATGGAAATATGGAAACAATGATAATAAAGTGGAGATCAAAAACACCTGCGGGCCCTTGCAAAGCCCAGCTGGAAGATACATTAATTCAGAAAGCCTGTCAGTCCTGGGTTAGCAGTCAGGGCCACCAGGGGGCACTGGAGTAGAGGCAGTGAGAGAACTTCAGTGCTGGCTCAGCAGGTAGAGGAGGAGCCTGCTGGAAGGGGGAATTTGAGGGCCAGCCAGGGCAGAGGGTATAGCAGTTCCAGAGATAATGGCTCAGAGGCCAAGGCCTGAGGACATACCCCTGAATGGCTGGGACTGTAAGCTGAAGGAGTGCGTACTATACTGGTTTCCTGGTGACAAAATTCCCAGCTGGCCTCAGGTTAACATTTCAAACAAATGGCAGCGCTGTGAAATGGGGCAATTCTCCGTGTCCCAGACCTGGGAAATGGAAAAGCCATTTGCTCCCTGTTTTCCAATTTGGTGAGAATTTCACACTGTGATCCCAAACTCAGGATATATGTCATGAGAGCCTAGCAGAGTGTAGTGCCCAGCAAATGCCCAGTCACCATGAGTCCCCTTCTTCAAGATGCCCAAGAGTGCCTCTCAGCCTCCAGCCTCCACTCGGACTAATCTCCTTAGGAGTGAAGCTTTGGGCTCCTCAGCCAGAGACCCTTTTGTCCTGCGCCTTTGTTGTTCCAGATTCTCACTGTGAGGCCTCAGCAGCTGCCAGGGGCCACCCCAGGGGCTGGAATCTCAGCTCACAAACAGAGCATTATGCGCACTTCTTCTTCAGCCCTGCCTGGCCCACTTGCCCCAGAAGCCCCACATCCAGCCTCTGGCCCCACGCTGCCTCACACACCCTGGCCAAGCCCCCCTTCTCCACAATATGTTTCTAATCTGCCCAGGAACAGTCACCACTTCGGTTTTCCTGCCTGGTCTAATCAGCTTCGCCTCTGGGCCTCGGCGTCCCGGGTGTGTAACCCGGAGGCTTGCACGGAGGTGATCGGATTGCAGGGAACAGTATGTTTTCCTCCCTGCCTCTGCGTGTTTTCTTCAGAGGCAGGGCCGGCCAGCTGAGCTGTCTTCCTCTTGCCCTCCTCCTAGCTGTCCCTCACATGCGCGGTCCGACTTCAGCGGGTGCAGGAGAGGAGCAGAGCTGGCACTGTGCTTATTGCAGGGAGTGAGAGCTGCAGGCAGGCTTGTTACAGGGAGCAAGGTTGCTCTTGCTTTGGAGACTAGGCCTGGGGGCCAGGGAGAGTGGAGGAAGAAGGCTGGACCAGTGGGGAATTTGTCCAGACCAGACATCTTAACGAGTTTTGTTCCTGCTTTGCTGCTGTTGGGTTTCCTCCCAACCCCCTGCTTCCCTGTGCTGAGCTGTCATTTCTCAGTCCTGCCACGCCTGTATGAACTTCTGGTTCCGCTAAGTAATAAACACCCAGGCCACACTACTGCTTCCTTTCCTCATTGCTTTCAAAATGCGATTAAAAAATATAAAAGTGGCATTATCAGTGATAAGAGCAGGGTATGCATTTTTAAAAAATTAAATAGAGATCTGCGGGGCTGATCCAAGTAGTAAGGTTCCAGGTGTTACTGAACTCAAATCGGGTTTGCTTGCTCAAGCACTCCAAACTGAACTGTAGGCAGATAGTGTGATGAAGGAAAATACAGCTTTATTGCAATGCACAAAGCAAGGAGAGTGGGCAGCTCATGCTGAAAAGACCTGGTCTCCACAACGTGTTCCCCACGTGCATTTTTAAGGGCAAAATTAGGAGCAGAGGTCCCAGGCAGATGATCAGTTCAGTGCTGGTTTAAAAGGGCATAATCATCTCATGGGCATTCTTGAGTGTCCAGACCTTAAATAATCAAATATCTGTTCAGGTTTCTGGGGCTATTTAGCCTGAGGTCTTTGAGCTCACTCTTAGCAGTTTCCATCCTACAAAATATCTACATACTGAAATTAAAACCTTATCTTTCTTTTAAGTGAGAATTCTTGATGCCTAATGGTCCTCATTTATGGCCACTGTTGTTTCATTATCATAACCCAAATCTGAAGTCCTACCCCTTACTCTGGACCATTACAATGTAAATGAACCTTGTATTCCGAGCACCTTAGAAAATACTTCACTGTTTTATTTTTTAAGAGTCGTTTTGTTTTTGTTTCTGTTTTTTTGCTATACAGAGAGACAGAAAGTGAGAAATCACCCCCAGGGGGCATGGCTACACCACATTCCCTTCTCCTCCATTCTCTTCTTGGGATTTTGGGCACACCCACACACATGCCACCATGAGCTTTAAGCCACTGGGTCTAGGACTCAAACCGCTGCTGATTACGTGGGAGTCCAGTGACGTACCATTATGCCTTTATTTTTAGTTTGGGAAACTCTTAATTTTTTGTTTAACAGAAGAGGAAATTGAGTACCTATCCCTCTTGGGGTGTGTGTGTGGGGGGGAGGGGGTCCCTGCTCAGTCTCACAGGTTCTCACCTGAGACCTGCTTGAGTATGCTGGGCATTCACATGCCCATGACCTGGGGCTGGCTGAAGCTGGGGTAGATTGCAATGTCAAAAACCTGCTGGGGATGCCGTATCTCTCTGTTTCTCTCTTTCTTGTTCTCTGTCTCTTTTGCTCATAAAAGAAAGAAACTTTTTATAAAGTTTAAATATTGGTCCAGCAGGTGGCATGGTGATTAAGGTAACTGGATTCCCATATGGCCAATCGTGGTCAAGTCCTGGACCCAGTGGCTTGAAAATCATGCCAGGTTGTGTGTGTGCATGCCCCAAATCCCAAGAGGACAATGGAAGAGAAGGAATTACAGCATGGCCATCTCCCCTAGGAAGTGATTTCTCACTTTTCCTCTCTCTCTGCCTCTCTTCTGTTAAATTTAACTATTTTGGCCTAAATCGATTACTATACTCCCACACTTGAATTCCTATGGATATGCTGAAATCGTACATGTTAGGCTATTTTCCTGAGCTGGTTGCTAAGTTATAGACAATCACACTAACCATACTTCAATCAATCACAGAAAGTCCAGATTTGGGCTGCTGTTTTACCATCCACTTGTAACCAATCCAATTGCTTTTCTACTTTACTCCTTTAGTTTTGACTTTGTACATCATTTTCCCTTTTCCAGAAATGAAATACTGAGTCAACCATGAGGCTCGCCAGAGTTGTTCGAAAGTCAGAGGACAACTGCCCAATTTAAAGTGTGTTAAGATTTGCTTAATCAAAACTCTTTTAAATTGACTGGCTTATTTTTCTTTTAACAGTGTTCGTGTCAGAAGTGGGATCTGAACTAGAGCTTCCAGTGACTCCCCAGGAGCAGCATGTGACCAAGGGAAGTATCCATGGGACCCTTTGTCGTCCGTTACTTTCTCACAGCACCTGGGATTATGGGTAAGTTCTCTTTCAGATTTGAGCTCCATGAAGTTGTGTTTAGAGCGCTCTGAATTTTATATGAGCAAATTTTGGTCCAAACTAGCTTTGAAGTTGCAACAAACTTGGTCTGGGTCCAGGATTGGATTGGATTAACTGCATTGGATCCAGTTGTCTGATCCAGTCAGACAGAAATTAGCGGTAAATAGCTATTTCTATGGCAGATGCAACAAAATTTTAGGTTAATTGTTTTTATATGAGATTTTTATATTCAACATTTTGATTTCTTTTTTTCCTTTTCTTTCTTTCTTTTCTTTTCTTTTTCTTTTTTTTTTTTTTTTTTTTTTTTGCATGCTTAGTTAGAGAAAGATCATTGACTAAATTGGTCAAGGCAAGCTCAAAACCAAAGCCCGGATAAATTATTTCCCACTTAGGTTTTTCTTGGCTTGAAGAGACTCAGAATTTATGTAAAAATTTATAAAATCTCTAATTCTAAAGATCAAAGTACACCCTGGAAGCTACAATATTTACAGAAGTGGTGAGATCTTAGTAACATGATTTAAAATTACTATGGCTATTATGAAGAACGTTCTATATAAACAAAACTGCTCTTTAAAAAACATAATTAAAATTGAGGGCTCCCAATTTAGGTCCATCCAGGGATGCCCACTGATATGCAGAAGTTTGTAAAAGATTTCATTTTATTTTATCTCTTTTAAGACTCTATAAAGGATAACTAAGAAACTTAAGTGAAAAAAAAAATTACCATAGGTTTTGCTTTGTTACCAGCCTGCCTAAAGCAAAAAGAAAGCTAGATAAAAGATTTATTAAAAAGGTTTCAAATTCACCTACAGGTCAAACTGGGTTGTTTATTGTTCAGCAATAACCACGTTGAATTAAAAGCATTGAAAATGGTTCCTTTACCTTCATTTTAAGGGCTCCACCTTAAAGTCAATAATTAATTAAGAAACATGCTGAATTTAGAAGATCACATATCAATTAAATTGGTCTTCAAAAATAGAAGTTTCTGGCAATTTAATGGTTTAAAAGATCCTGCATATTTGTAAATACATCTCCCTTAAGTCACCAAAGTTTCTTACAGTGGACAATGCACAAGTTTGAATGTGTAACATGAACAGACTGCATACATCAGTAATACAGTTGTTCAGGGCTCCTTCTTAGAGAAACCCAACTGTGGTTCAAATCCTAGCCTCTGCACTCTGCTTGGAAAAAGATATATGCATATATGCCCCCAAACTCCCACTAATGCCATAAAAAAATGGAGAAGAGGGAATCGCTGTGTGACCACTCCCTATTTGCAATGCTTTTCCCTCCTTTCTCAGTCTAACAAGGACATCTGCCCTCTGGTTATTAATCTGTATAACAATTCCCACCTTTGATCATCCTGAATCATCCTGTATTTGTTATATGCCTTTGAAATATAAACTTTCTACCTTGTTTAAACTACAAATTGTACCTATAGAATAGATATTTAGAACAATTAATGGCAAAATTAACCATTAAAAAGTAATGCTAAGATACTTGTTATTAAGTGTAGATACAGAAGTAAAAGCAAGTTATTCAATGTTTCAACAGACTCAGAAGAGATCTGATTATGTCAGGGACTTAGTCACAGCATTAAAGGGTTTCTCTTCTGGGCAAGTGGAAGGAATGACCTGTTTCATTTCTTTGCAAGGCACATGAAGATAAGCAATGATTGGCAAGGCTGCAGGATCATGGTGGAGCTGATCAAGACAACTCTTAGATCCTTATTTTGATACAGGTGTCTGTAAGGACTCGACAGGGTTAAAATATGAAGCTTTCTGGGGAACCAGCAGTTAGCGTAATGGCTATGTCGCTGGACTCCCACGTGGTCGATCGCGGTTCGTGTCCCGGACCCGGTGGCTTAAAACTCACGCCGGGCGTGTGTGCATGCGTGCCCAAGATCCCGAGAGGAAAATGGAGGAGAAGGGATTGCGGCGTGACCATCCCCCCTGGGGGATGATTTCTCGCTTTCTGTCTCTATGTCTCTCTCTGTCTGTCTGGCGAGCGCACGCGCCCTACAGTGAAAATCTCTCAAAAAAAAAAATATGAAGCTTTCTCATTTTATTTTCTTCTGAAAAAGAACTTTTCAGAAGACTATGAGATCTTTTGTTTGTGTGTATGCAAACATATATGTTATGTGGTATATTGTGTAACTATGTGGTAAAAGGCCTTAAGGAATTCCATTCAATTTATAAAAAGAGTGTTCATACAAATTAATTTAAATGCTTTTCAAGTTCATGTGATTTAAAATCTTTGAAAAATAAACTGGATTCAAATATAGTAAAAAAAAAAAGAATTTAATTAAGTAAAGATTTTCTCAGTTTCCAACATATACTTTGTCAAGGGATTTACTGATCAGATATCATATTTGTCTTTTTTTTCAATTATTTTACTTAACTTTATTTTTATTACTATTATTTTTATTTTTCAGTTTGATCAGACACACACAGAGAGAGAGAGAGAGAGAGGGAAAGTGAGAGAGCAAGCCACCAGGTCCAGGATTTGAACCATGGTCAACCATGTGGGAATCCAGTGCCTTTAACCACCACACCACCTTCTGGTCCCAATATTTGTCTTAACATGGTTGGTTTGATAAAACAGCTGGTATTTATATGTTATATGCTACACGGTGGATATCTGACCTACAGAAAAAAATGAATTAATAACTAGTCTTCTCTGATACTTTGTTTCTCATAAATAATCAGGACATAATGGGTAAAGAAAAGTTTTGAGTTCTATTAGATAAAACGGATTTTCCCAAAGTTTAATTTTTGGTTCTCTTATGATTCAGTTACAGGACTAATGACTAACAGTAATAAAAATTAAATCTTACAAAGGAAATTTTATATGTGATGTATATGTTGGTCTTTGGGTTGTTTTGTTGTTATCTCTTGCTGCTATAGTCTGCCATGTATTCTGTTTTTAGTTTTGGTGTCAAAAAATGCTGACTTAACCCTATTTCTTCCCTAATGTGCTTGCAGAACATTTAACTTTCATTTTCTTCTGACAGTTAAGTATTTAAGCATTTTGCTATATTTGACAAGGCTTCTCCAAAATCAAATTATAAATGAAGTTATTTTACCTCAAAATAACTTTTGGATGTTTACAGAGGTCCTGTGAAACATCCCAAAGAGAGATGTTAGAACCAATCAGACTTATTTTAATATGTTAAATGAGATAAGAAACATTGTCAAACTTAGTAATTTTAATTGTCTTTGCATTATATTTCAATTATATTTATAGATACGTGTATATGTGTTTATGTATATGTGTATTTATTCATGCACTGTGTTCCAAAATGAATTGAGATTCCCAGAAATCTATAGTGTGATATTTATCAATCATGTTGCATGGTGTTATGTTAAGTTGGTGTATGTCACAGATATAGCCAATTGTTTTTTTCAGTTGTAAACCCTTGTCAGATATGTAACTATGTTTGGTTCAAGCCTTATTGTTCATGGTTAGTTGCTTTGTCTGATGTCTTTCTAAAAATATTTTTTCCCCCAATGACTAGAAATTTAAAGTGTTCTGTCTTTAAGGAAGTTCATAAAAAGGATGGAAAGAGGTAATATTGTTACAAAAGAATGTAAATCCAATGTTAAGCATGGACTCATGGAGAGCCTATGGATGGTCACCTAGTGCTTACTGAGTCCTCCATACAGCTCATTATTTAAAACCTCTATACTCCATGACTCACAAAATAGAGAAAATGATCCAGATTTTAAAAATACTGATAATTTGGGACCAGCAGTTAGCATAATGGCCATGTCTCTGGACTCCCACGTAGTCGACCGAGTTTACGTGCCGGACCCAGTGGCTTAAAACTCACGCCAGGCGCATGTGTGTGCGTGCCCAAGATCCCGAGAGGAGAATGGAGGAGAAGGGATTGCGGCATGGCCATCCCCCCGGGGGGTGATTTCTCGCTTTCTATCTCTCTGTCTCTCTCTGTCTGTCTGGCGAGCGCACGCGCCCTATAGCAAAAACCTCTCCAAAAAAAAAAAAAATACTGATAATTTATATGGTAATGTTAGTATAGTAACTGCTCTAATATTCTTAAAATGTCTTCTAGCCTATGTTTAGTTTGTCAACTCGATATTGAAAAGACAGTAAAAGCTGCAGGTACATTTCTACTATCTAATATGTCATTTAAATATTATAAAGAAATTTCACTCATAGTCATTTTCATTATGCATTTTTTAATTGTCTAGGAACTTTTCCATGATGGAAGATAATGCTGTAATAGTAGTCAAAAGATTATTAGAAAATGTGTTATCTCTCATGAGACATTTCTGGAGAAATCTGAGGTGACTAAACTCGACCAGGCTTTAAAGCATTATGCCAAATGTATTTTCATCAGATAAAGGATGCTGTTTGTGCTTTAGTGACTGAAGACAATCAAGCCCTTTATGATCCAAAGTAGGAGTCTTCTGGAAATGACACCAGAGAAAGACTGCCTATAAGCCCTGTTGGAAGACATCATACCAAATTCTTTCTACCACTCCTATTGCAGTAAATCTTCAAGAACTTGAACTCTAGACTCCCAATTCAATAGGGCTACTTCAGATTTTTAAAAGCATGTACCTGTTGAGGACTTTAAGGTAAAACAGACCAGAAAATTTCTTCTTCAAAACACTTTGGACATGGACAGCTGGACAGCTATGCCTCAATATCACAGATCAAGAGTTCTTTGCTATCATGAAAACTTTATGTTTGTTCGTCCGTCCGTCCTTCCTTCCTTCCTTCCTTTCTTTTTTTTTTAATCTCAACTTCTATTGTCTTAAATCTTTACTCTTCTCCACAGGAAAATCCATGAGACCATAATCAATGGTTGACCTTAACCATTGAACTTACATCCTAGCATAAAACCGGAACAATTGTTAGGTTTATGGACTAATGCAGAAAAAAATTCAGTAAGGTTCCTGGAGATTCACTTTTGGTGGTAATGGGATACTGGTTATATTTAAAGCTTATTCATAAACTGAAAAGAATTTTCAAAATTTACAGCCAATAAGACCTCCTAGGATTCCAGGTGGGTAAAAAGACCCTCCAAAAGATGAATGATTAACATACAAGTTTAACAA